ACTCAGGGCCTGAGAGCTATCCCTTAGCTTTTTCACTCAAAGCTGGTGTTCCGCACCACTAGAGCTGAAGCTCCATTACCAGCTTTTTGCTCCTTAACAGGAGAGAAGAATCTCATGGACTTTCCTACCCAGGCTGGCTTCAAACAGTATCCCTCAGATCTCAGTCTCTTGAGAGTTAGGTTCAGGCCACCAGTGCATGGCTCAACCCATGCATTCTGGTGGAGGTTGATCTAGATATTATGCAAACTGGGGCACAGCTGAAGAAGAGAGTGAATGAAGCAGGGGCGTTAGATCAAGGTGCTGGTCTGGTATCAACCAAATAGTCAACAACCAGACAAGTGGAGAAAGTGAGGCTGGAGTATATATAAACCCAGGCACTGGTCTGGAACCTCAGAATAAGGACTTTTGGCTACACAGACTGAATAGCTCTCTCTGACATTCATTCTCCTAACCTAATCAGCACCTGGGCTGTGGAGCTGAGAGTCTAGGTCATTGAGGTTCAGGGTTTAGTAACAAGTTCCTTCATTTTCACTGAAACTCACAATGTTTCTTCTTAATACTGTGGCTCTGGGGCACCACTGCAGGGCAGATGGCCCTCATATGCTCTGTCACTTCCTGCACCAGCATTCAGAGATCCCGGCATCCACAATAACCATGCTAATAGCAAAACCATGGAATGAAAGGGTTTGACCTTAATTAGTGATCTGGACAAAGACAAGGCAACAGAGACAGGATAAAAAGAGAGAGAATATGAGAGGGAGAAATAGAGAAAGACACAAGAGAGGCAGACACAGAGAGGCAATCACAGACATCAACAGAGATACAGAGAGACAACCAAAGAGATAAAGAGAGACATCCAAAGAGAGACAGAGAGAGCATCAAAGACACAAGCCAGGTGCAAGTGGCTCACACCTGTAATCCTAGCTTCTCAGGAGACCTAGAACTGAGGATCTTGGTTCAAAGCTAGCCTAGGTGACATTTTTATCTCCAATTAAACACTCAAAAACCCAGAATAGAATTCAATAGAAATGAAAGTCTGTCTCTGCATAAAATTAGGTTTGAAAGTGTCCTAAACAACTTGATTAAAAATATCAAGTGGCAAAGCACTTGCCGAGCAAGCACAACATCCTGGGTTTGATCCTCATTGCCAAAAAAATTAAATAAATGAAGAGAGAAGAGAAAAAAACAATGAAGAATGTGTCACACTCAGATGTGAGGCTCCGTTGAGCTCCTGGATCTTCTGGGGCAGGGTCTTGGTCCAGAACTTCAGCCTGGAGCCTTCAGGGCCTGACCTACAGCAGGATGGATGTCCACTGTAGGTACTGCTCATTCTGGTCAAACTTGGGCCAGTGGAACAGTTCCTCACTATTGGGGTTCCTCTGGACACACCCTCCCAGGAAGGGAGTAAGAGTCATTCCAGTTCTTGTGAGCCTGGACCCAATCACCTCATTAGGGTCATGCAAGGCAGCCCAAAAGATCAGGAGTAGGGGAATGAGGGAAACTTCTGATATAGGAAAACACTCCCACTAGTGTCTGTTCTATATGGTTCAGAGCCACATCACAGAGTTGGGTGCTGATGTTTCCACAAAAATGTGAACTACCTTTCAGGTCTCTTGAGCAAGAGAGAATGACTTGACCCTACAAAACTCTCTCTCTCTCTGTCTCTGTCTCTCTGTCTCTCTCTTTCTCTTTCTGTGTGTGTCTCTCTCTGTCTCTGTGTCTGTGTCTCTGTCTCTGTCTCTCTGTCTCTGTCTGTCTCTCTCTTTCTCAGTGTGAGTCCTGGGGTTTAAGGGAGGACTGTCATAGAATTAAGGATCATACATGCATATAAAAATGCCATAAGGGGATCACTAGGTGGACTCCACTCATGGGAGGCAGGGTTAGGTGTATTATTTCACCCAGTCTGGGCCAGGTTGGCCCAGTACTTCATCCTCCTCCTGCTCAATAGCTCCTCCTCTTCAGAAAAGCCAGCTGTATAGAGGAGAACAAGAGTCTACATCTTGGACAACCTTTCAGGGTGCCTACTTCTGCTCTACACCCTTCATTCAACTGTAGTCTGGTCCTCCATACCAGGCCTGATCCTTTCCCTCTGTTCCACTCAGGAGCAGGCACTCCCATTATATAACCTTTCATTCTTCTTCCCTACCTCTAGCTGAAAACGGCGGTATGTATTCCTCTGACCCCCATTCCAGTCACAAGATCTGATGTGCACTCAAGATCTCCAGCCTAATGAACTCTGGCCCAGGAGATGGACAGAGACCCTTCTATCCAGACCTGGCTAGATGCTCTTGGTAGATTCACATACAGTTTGGAGAATAGACAAAGTGACAGATTACCATCAGCACACGTTTATTGCAGAGCCTTTAGCCAAAGCTTAAATATTCACTCCTGCTTACAGGCTAGGGTTTTTGTATTGGTTTAGTGAGAATGCTAGTGTAATCCAGTAGGGGCTGATAAGAAAGCAACTAATGTGGTGCTTCTACCCTTGGACTCTCTCCCTCTCCCTCTCTCCCTCTCCCTCTCTTTCTCTGTCTCTCTGTCTCTGTCTGTTTCTGTCTGTTTCTGTCTGTCTCTGTCTCTCTATCTCTCTCTGTCTCTCTGTCTCTCTGTCTCTGTCTCTGTCTCTGTCTCTGTCTCTGTCTCTCTCTCTCTCTCTCTCTCTCTCTCTCTCCCTCTCTCTCCTCTGTAAATGTGTGTGCTGGAATTGGGACCTGAACTCAGGGCCTGAGAGCTATCCCTTAACCTTTTCACTCAAAGCTAGTACTACACACTATTATAGCGGCAGCTCCATTGTGGGGTTTTTGCTGTTTAACAAGAGATAAGAATCTCATGGACTTTCCTACCCAGGCTGGTTTCAAACTGCAATCTTCAGATCTCTGTCTCCTGAGTGTTAGGTACAAACCACCAGTGCATGGCTCAACGCATGCATTCTGGTGGGGGTTGATAAGAAAGTAATTAATTTAATAGTAATAATTCAAACTGGGTTACAGCTGAAGAAGGGAGGAAATGAAGCAGGGACCTTAGCTCATGGTCCTGGTTTGGCCCCAGCCAAAAGGATTACAGCCAGACAAGGGGAGAAAGTGAGGCTGGAGTGTTTATAAATCCAGGCTCTGGTCTGGAACTTCAGGATAAGGACATTTGGCTACCCAGAATTAAGAGTTCTCTCTGACCTTCATTCTCCTAACCTAATCATCACCTGTGCTGGGAAACTGAGCATTTAGATCCTTGAAATTCAGGATCCAGTAACCAATCCCTTTATTTTAACTGAAAATCATGCTGCTGCTTCTTAATACCATGGCTGTGGTGCCCACTGCAAGGCTGAAGGTCCCCTCATGCCCTGCCACTTCCTGCACCATCATTCAGAGACCCTGGCATGCACAATAACCATGCTAATAGTAAAAGCATGGAATGAAAGCCTTTTAGAAGCATTTTGTATCTGTGAGGAGGTTTATGAAAACTTACATATACCTAGTGATTTGGACAAAGATGGGGAGACAGAGATAGGAGAGACAGACAGACACACAGACAGACAGACAGAGAAAGAGACACAAAGACAAGAGACAGAAAGAGAAAGAGAGAGAAAGAAAGGCAGATACAGACAGAGAAGCAGACACAGACATAGACATAAGCATAGAGAGACAGAGAGATAGAAAGAAAGCATCAGAGACACAAGCAAGGTGCCAGTGGCTCACAGTGTAATCTTAACTTCTCAGGAGGCTGAAATCTGAGGATACTGGTTCAAAGACAGCCCAGTTCGAAAAGTCGCCAATTAAACACTCAAAAACCCAGAATAGAATCCAACAGAAATGAAAGTACGTGCCTGCATAAAGTTTGAAGTGTCCTAAACAACTTAAAAATAGCAGAGAATCTGTCCCACTCAGATGTGCATCCAGTTGCTTTGTGAATAAAAAGTAATGTGTGCATTCATAGAAGGCATTCCTCAATAAAAGAAATAACACTTGATTCTTAAAGTATTAATCGCCTTGACTACAAGTCACAAACAATTCAGTTAGTATGATATGCTATATTGTGATATTATTTTTCCAAACAATATTGAATCTTGATTGCAACTAAATACAATTGGGCCAGGATGTAGTGGTTCTTACCTAAAATCCTAGCAACTCAGAATGCTAAGGGCTGAAGATCAAGGTTCAAAGCCAGTCCAGGTAGAAAAGTTTTTGAGATTCTTGTTTTGTTTTTTTTTTTTTTTGGGTCCAGTCGTGGGGCCTGAACTCTGGGCCTGGGCACTGTCCCTCAGCTCTTCAGCTCAAGGCTAGCGCTCTACCACTTGAGCCACAGAGCCACTTCCGGCTTTTTTCTTTTTGCTTATGTGGTGCTGAGGAATCAAACCCAGGGCCTCATGCTTGCAAGGCAAGCGCTCTACCACTGAGCCACCTTCCCAGCCCTTTTTTGAGATTCTTATGTCTAATTAACAAGCAGAAAGCCAGAAGTGGAGGATGGCTCAAGAAATAGAGATGCAACATTGAGGAGAAAAAAAAACAAGTCAGAAGACAAAGCCCTGAGTTCAAGTCCTAGAATATAAAACAAACAAACACAATCAAGTGTTTACAAAAGCTGAGTAAAGGAAAGTAATTATCTGTAAAGTATGTGAAGGGAGTTCGTTGCATGAAAGAAACATTTTAACACATGATATAGGAGTGGATGTGGGTAAATTTAACTGCATAGAAATTAATCCAAAACAAAATTTCTTGTACACTTGTGTGGATGAGAGAGAGAGAGAGAGAGAGAGAGAGAGAGAGAGAGAGAGAAAGTGTGTGTATTAGAGAAACTTAGAAATTAAATTGGCCTAATTTTGGTTACTTAGAAGTTAGAGAAAAAAATGGGAATTGCTGAAGGGTCAATCTGGGATTTTAACCCACTTCTAGGAGTAACATGCTCAGAACATCTTCTTCATTTGAAGAGAGGCTGGGGACTTGGAGCAGACAGAGGTTGGGGAGATGAGATGAGCGAGAAAGAAAGTAGCCCAGGCCCATGGGGTTTGGAGGACTGTAAGCACTTGGAGCTCATTCAGCTTCATTGCCAAGGGGCATTTATTGAGTGTGTCTAACCAGAGAGTGCTCAGGCAAGTTGGTCATGAACATCATGTAGGGAGTTGTTCATACGTATCAGCTGGTTGGCTGGCTGACAGGATACAGGGGGATGAATGGCCAAGTGAATGAATGATTGAGTCAATTCCTATTTCATGGTAAATGTATGGGCACCTCCTGCTGATCCTACCTGCACTCAAGCCCACTCATCCTGACATGGACCACTACAGCTCTACATGCTTCTCAGCCCCCTTGAGCTCCTGGATTTTCTGGGGCAGGGTCTTGGTCCAGAACTTCAGCCTGGAGGCCTTCAGGGCCTGTCCCACGGCAGGATGGATGTCCAGCTGTAGATACTGCTCATTCTGGTCAAACAAGGGCCAATGAATCAGGTCCTCACTGTTGGGGTTTCTGTGGACACACCCCACAAGGAGGAGGGGTGAGGGTCATTCTAAGTCCTTATGAGCCTGGACCCAATCACCTCATTAGGTGATTTGGGCAGGCAGCCCAAAGGTCAGGAGTGGGGGTATGAGGGAATGAGGGAAACTTTTCTGATAAGGAAAACAAGGCCCTCCCACAAGTGTCTGTTCTATATGGCTCAGAGCCACCTCACTGAGATGAGCGCTGATATTTCCACAAAACTGTGCTCTACCTTTCAGGTTTCTGGATCAAGAGAGTGTGACTTGAACTTACCATTCATTCTCTGTGTGTGAGTGACTCCTGGGGTTTGAGGGGGGAAATGCCAAGTAACTAAGGTCATGAGCATTCGTGAGTACATTACAAAGGGATCACTAGGTAGACTCTACTCACTCATGGGAGGCAGGGTTAGGTGTATTATCTCACCCATTCCGAGCAAAGTTGGCCCAGTACTTCATCATCTTTCTACTCAGTAGCTGCTCCTCCTCAGAAAAGTCAGCTGCACAAAGGAGAACAAGTGTCAAGATCATGGCTAATTTCAGGGTGCCTACTGCTGCTCTCCACCCTCCATTCAATTGTAGTCTGATCCTCCATAACAGGCCTAATCCTTTCATTCTACTCCACCCAGTATCAGAGACTCCCATTCCATAACCCTCCATTCTTCTTCTTTGTCTCTAGTTGAATACACCAGTGTGTATTCCTGGAATAGAGGCCATTTCTACCCTCAGTCCCTGGAATAACTTAGGAACATTTATAACATCCAAGCATGCACTCTGTACCCATGACTGATACCTTATTGCTTGCTGGTAGGGACGGGTGTTATGAGCACAGGCTGCTTGGGAAAAAATTTGGAATGTAAACAGCTGCAGCTTTTTGAGCGGTAAGATTCTGCACACTTGATCTTGTCTTCTATCTAGGCTTCAGTTTCCTTATGTAGACCACGAGGAAATTCACCTACAGGGACCCTAGTGTGGCCCATTCTAGCTTATGGAAATGAAGAAGACTCACGGCTGCTGCCACCAAAGGAGGACCCGAAGACAAAGACAACCTCAGCACCATGGTCGGCCCTTATATTCTGGAGCTTAAGGTCCTTGATGAAGCTGTAAGGATGTTGGAACTCATAGAAGTAGACAGGGCTATGGGAACCTGGAAGTGGAGACAAATTATGACATGGTGAGCCCTCATTTGGAGTTGTCCTTCCTCATCTTTAGTGATAAGATGCTAGACTGAACCTGGCTGGAATCTGGACTGTGAAGTGAGAAGCCTCAGGAAGAGGCATTTCAAAGACCAAAGATGGTCATCACATTAAATGCTCCATTCTCTGACTTTGGGATGAGCTTTGAGGTCAAGAACTGCATGTTACTTTCATCTTTCACAAGACCCCAGTGGGAAAAACCTTTGGTTCAATCATGGCTTTGATTTTCTGTGTGTTCTTGGCTTAATCATTATCTAAGTTTCCACTTCTTTAAAGTGCCAGTGATGCCTGTGTCTTATAGTAGCCTTGAGAATTTATTGACCTGTGTGGCATCAAGTGCCTACCACTGCCTTGAGAGAGACAAAGGTGGAGATTGGACATCACAGAGGTCACCCTGGATGCACAGCTCTAAGCTGCCTGCTGCTCAGGCAGGCTTCAGCTACAGATGTACTCACACTGAAAATGCGCTACTTGCAGTGCAGGCATCACGAACATGAAGTCCCCCATCATGTCATGGAACTGGGCTTGGAGGGTCTGGGGGTCCTCGGTGTCCCCCATGTACTCTTCCATCAGCAAGTCAGCACACTCAGCAGGTAAGTTCTGTGCCAAGAGGATCAGAGAGAGTCAGGCTAGGCAGGAGTGCAGTGGCAGGGAGGAGGCAGCCTCTGGGTGCAGAGATGGCACCTGACTGAGACATTAACATAGGGTGGAAAGAGTCAAGTGCTGGAGTAACCCCACCACCAACACACAGATATCCCATTGTATATTCCTGGAGGTTACTGTGTGAACAAATACCTTAGGGTGCCCCATCCACTGGTGCAGGTGTTTGGATCCTTACCATGAGTCCTACTGTGTTCTGCATTATAGCTGGCAAGGTCTTTCTGTTTATTTTCTTTATGGTGTCAGCAAGTCCAAAGATCTGAGTGGTGAGGAGACAGTTTAAGTTGGAATTACGTGGTCATGAAGGTATCAAGCCTTGTCCCACCCTATACACCCTGCCACTCAGACACATAACAGATGAGCTCCCCAGACAACTAATGAGTTAGAATGAAGTCTCACCATGGGGAGGATCCAACCATACTCATCAGTGTTGACACCAATGATGCTAGGGACTGGGTGGAAATCAGCAGAGGCCAGCAGCTCCGTTGGGTGCTTGGGTAGGAAGACCCCATCCACCACTGCAGGGATGATCTTGAAGGTCTGAGGAGGCATCCATGACCAGGATTTGAGATCACATAACACATATTTTTCTTATATCCCTATGTTACTTCCACCCTATGCCAATTCCTCCCTGCATTCTCTCCCATACATATACCAAAAGATGCAACACTTAGGTTAGCCTCCCTTAGCCTTCATTTCCTATCCAGAGGTACAAGAACAGAGTGTTTGTTTCAGAGTATTAGGACTGGATGATACACATCGTATGTCCTTTTCCCCCTTCATTGAGAAGTGGGCTGGTCCACACCCACACCATTCAGCCTGACCTTGGTAATAGCCAGCATTTCCTCTTCACTCTTGGCCCGCAGACAGCGCACCAGAGCCTCTGAGTCCATCTTCTCACAGGCAGACAGGTTGGCCACGATCTGGAAAGCAAACAGACAGAGGCTGCCTCACCTTTTGAAGTAGCAAGAGAGGTTTTCCCAGACCCAGATTGATGCAAGTTACTCCAGATCATTTAGGGTTTACTGTGTGTATTTCTGTAGGTGTGAAATTGTTCCCACATTCATGATGCTCAGGGACTTTGCCTGGAGGGGACATCTTTGCTGCTTACATGGTTATATCCACATAGGAGACTCTGGGTTTAGCATTAACTCAGTGAGGCTGAGAAGTATGGATTGTACCCTGACTCCTCAGCAATTATCAAGACGTTCCAAAGTTACCTTCATGGTCAATTTTGTACCCAACAAGACAAAATTAAAGCCTCTTTGGATAAGTATAGTATAGGGAGTCTGGACCAGGGCAGCTGAGGGCACTCACTGAGCGGACTGGTTCAGAGGAGCTGGAGATGAGGTCTGGCAGCAGGACCACCCCACTCTCCATGATGGCACCATGGAAGAGTCCTTGGGACATGGGGGACACGACATGTGAGGACACACTTGTGCCACCTGCAGACTCGCCAAAAATGGTGACACGGTTGGGGTTGCCTCCAAAGTGGGCGATATTCTGCTGGACCCAGCGTAGGGCGGCCGCTTGGTCCAGGTAGCCCCAGTTGCCAGTGGCATGCTGGTCTCCAGTGCTGAAAGTGACAGAGACAAGGGTCACAGGGCTGTCCTGGCTGTGCTTGGCCCTCATTGCCCATCTCAATCCCTCGCTCACCTGAAGAAGCCCGGGACTCCCAGGCGGTACTGGATAGTGACCACCACCACATGCTCAATGGCTGCCAGCATGGATCCATCATACACGGAAGCCATACCTACAACCAGTGCACCACCATGGATCCATACCATGACCTGGGAAAGTCAAGACAGCTGTTGTTGATTCTCATTCAGCCCCTATCCTACCTCTGTGTCCATTACACTGCTCATGGCTTTGGCTGTGTGTAGTTGCCAACATAGAAAAAACTCCCTCAAGACCTTCTGAACTTGGCCCTGGAGGAGGGCCACAAGTTCAGTCACTATCCTTGAGGACAACTGCAGGAATCCAAGGCTGAATTAGTGGCTTCAAGCCTGGAGTACCAGTGACCTTACGCTCTTGTCTATCTAACGTGGAAGGAAAAGGGGCATTTTCCTGATTGTCTCACTTTAATATGAGTCAAAGGATCACATACTATCATTGGCACAATAGATAACCCACAACTTGAGTGATCTCAAAGTTCCACAATTGGGCTCCTCACTGAGTCTTCTGGGCTCATGTTGGTAGTGAGTTCTTGTTTGATTAAAGAACCAAGGCCTCTAACAACTGGGAGCAGTTAGAACTCTGAATCCCCTACCATTGGTGATTCACCCTTCCTGACAAGTGGTGTTTGGAACCTGATAATGAAACTTTTCATTAGGTTCCACACTGCCTCAGAACCCAGGCTATTCTTTCCACTACTAAGAGTCTTACAGAAGAAATGTTCTCCCAGAAAATCCAACACTCACAGGCAGGTTAGAGCCCTCCTGGGCACTGGCAGGAGAATAGATGTTGAGATAAAGGCAGTCTTCAGACATGGGGATGGGAAGTGTAGTTAGGCTCGACATTTCCCCTATATTCATCATATCCAAATTTTGCAGACACCTGGTTGCAATAGAAGACAATTATTCCAGTGTTTGTCTTATAGTCAAAAATCTGAACCTGAAGCTCAATTTGTTCCCAGCCACCGTGAACATTTGATACTTTGGTGTCCTGTTTATACCGAATATTTTCTCATATCTTTTCCAAAGAATGTGCTGGCCACAGGCTTGGGTGGATGACACTCTCTATCTCAAGCTAGAATGAAGCTCTGACCTTCAGGAAGCCTTCACCATGTTGGGGACATTGGGTTTCTCTCCCCTTAAGCCTTGGAAATCTCAACACATAGAGTTTTCTAGAAGCATTGGCTGCCAGAGTTGACATACCTTCTCTCTGTGCCAATTAAAGCCTGTCCAGGGTTGTTGCCACCACATCAGTGTAGTATGAATGAATGAAGCTCAGTTATACATATGGTAGTAAAACATTGCTGAAATCAAAATCCACACACAAGGGAATTGTAATCCTTCCACCATGTCTCCAATTTGAAGAACAGAGACATTTCCTTAACCAGGGGCACCTGGCCCTTTGGGTAAGCACAGTGACTGTGGAGCTTGGCTTCTCCAAGGAGCCCCCACTGCTGCCCTCCTCAGCGATCTGTAGCATCTGCTGCTGGACCAGGAGCTCTGTCAGGTCCATATAGACAAGGTGGACCATAAGCTCTGTCAGGTCCATACAGCCCAGCTGAACCTTTCCCAGGGATGCTTCCCCTGGTGGCAGAGAACAATTGGCATGATCCAAGTCATGGCACAAATATATCTCTGTGCTTTGGCACCTGGTGCTAACACTGTTCATATGCAAAGTCAGAGCTATGAGCCTGGCAAAGCTGTTCCACCTACTGAATCTCAGCAAATTCATTGGAAAAATCAACATGGGAAATTCTCCAGTTCAGATTGAAATGGACTGGGGGTATTCATAGGAGAAATACTCAGTGTGGTCCAGGGTGACCATTCCACTACAGAGATTCTCACCCCGGAAGAGCTTACATGGCTGGGTAGGAGGTGGCATCCCTCACACCACTCCAAGGCTCAGGGTGCTCCGGAGGGGCAAACCGCAGTGGTCCTACAGGTGGCTTGGCAAAGGGAATGCCCAGGAAGGTGTGCACTCCCACATTGCTATCCTTCACATGGATGAGGCTGCCCCGCACCTGCCCGGTGTGTGTGGTTCTGATGGGGCTGGCTGGGTCCTGGCCTGTGAGTAGAGAGATGCACATGAGAGTTGGGTGTGCCCTATCAGCTGCCACTCCCATTGTGGCTCCTGTTGGTTCTATGCCACCCACAGTTCAGCCAGACAAGGTCCTCTGATCTGCAGGTTCATTGGCTTCACATACATTTTGTCTGCATGACTGTGCTCCAACACCACTGTTTTCACTGACCTGACCCAGACCTTCCTACCAGGCAGGATCCCTGAGGTTCTTTGGAACCTTATACCATCATTAAGCACTAGGAGCTTCAAGCTTAGTTTTTGGCAGAATAAGCATCATTTCCAGCAACCTAACAGGTTTTACAAGGCACTAGCAGGACTCTGGGGATTGGACTGAACATTTCCAACCCTCAGATTCCTCACAATGGAGGTATCAGAAATGCCAAGATGAAATAGGGCTGCAAGGAGAGAGTCACACAGCTCTGATCAGATCATGAAAACCCTGGCCGGCTTGTGTTGGGGATCAAGAATGGAGGAGGCCATTGGATATCATCTGCATCAATCTGACTTGTACAATCATGATATTTTTTTAAATGTATGCCGCATACTTTGTGGGTTGTTGTTTTTTTTAACGAATGTAAGACAGAATCCTTCATATGAGCTCACATTTGGTAGCCTCAAAACTCATGTTCCTTAAGATGTTTTGAGACAACAAGTCAGGCCCACAATCTCTGGCAATTTTGTCATCAGGACCAATTCACTCTCCGTTGAATCCCCCAGGATCACCCTCCAATAAGAAAAGTAACTCTCCTGTCCCTAAGAACGCTCCAGGAACTATTTGTGAATCACAAAGTTTCATGTCACCTGGTATGGCTTGAGCCAAGATAGAAACCACAGACAGCAGTTTCCCAATATTTTCCAAAATCTAAAGACATACCACTGACCTCCATGTTGTCTGTGCAAGAGATTTTGGCTGCATGGGAACTCTGACCCTGGGCCTCACTGTGGCCACCAGCCACTCATGCTTCATAGTAGTTATATAATTGATGTGTTTAAGGATAAACATTGCTCATAGGTTCCTATTAGAGACCAGCTACCTGCATGTTGCTTCAAGCCCCTCATGAAATGGTATGAGAAAGCTGAGTCCTACAGTGGAAAAAGTAACCCTTGAATTAGGAGAATTTAAACCTGGGTCTTCTGGGTAGCAAGATTTGCATAACCAGCTCCTTCTCATATAAACAATTGTTATGTTCAATTCACTATTTCAGAATCCATACCCAGATCCTGATCAAGCAGGAAAGGGAGGGGATCCAGTAGGAGTGGGCCATGGGTGGGGTGAGGGGGAACTCCTTAGGGCAGATTAAATAAGAGAGGGTAGGGGAGTTCATCAGAGCCTATCCCAGCTTGCTGTGGATTGAGAGGATCAAAGGTTGCACATATATTTCTGATGTAATTCTCTAAGTAGCATGAGCTCCTGATATGAGGCCCGAGAGTTTGTGGCAGGCACAGGACATACCCTCTGAGTCCTAGAAACTAAGCCAAGCCTTTGCCCAGAGTTCGTACATAGGTGAAAGAAACCCAGGTCCACTTCGGTTCAACTTACTGATGTTTTTCTGGGGAAGTATATCTCCTCCAGGACCAGAAACCTTTGCTGGGGAATATTGGACCTACCAAGATGCTTCTCTGGCAATGAAGGGGACCCACACAGGGACAGAGGATAGTGTGAACAATTACATGATCAGATTCAGTAGCAGTTACAGCTCCAGCTGCACCTACTCACAGAGGAGGAAAATGTCCAGAATCCCTGACTCTGCCTGGCACATGTCAGTGCACCTCTGACTCTTTCAGATTGGGCTCACTCCTGTGTTTCCTCAGGCATCTATAACCCTCTCTGAGCTATATGATCACCATCCTGGCATTTTATGGAGGTTTAAATAACAAAATTTTCCCACATTGTCATCTGTCATGTCCACCTACTCCTTTCTCCCTCCCTTCTTTAACTTCAAACTCTGTTCTGCATAATGTGGCAGATCTCAAGCTAGTCCCTGTTTCCCTCCACCTTGACCCATCCCCTTGCAGTGACTTACCCTGAATCCAGTGTGGAAGAAGCAGGAATCCATAGACCACTGAAGTCAGCCAAGCGGGAAGTTGGTGGAGTGGCATGGCTGGCTCACGGGACAGTTTCTGTGTCTCTATGCAGCACACTGCAACTCACCAACAGACAATTCACCTAGACTTTGCCCGGCCGGGTTTGGAGGAGGCGGGACCTAGGAGAGGTTGGGCAAGGTTGTTCCTGTGAGAGAGGGGCACTGATGGGGCAGTGGTCACAGGAAGTCAGGGCCCAGCAATCTGGTTGTGAGCCCTTCCCTTCTCCTACTTTCCCTTTGCCCTTCTCCAGAGGTGCTGTGTGACTTTTGCAGCCCTTGAGATACTGGGAACTTTCACCAGGGTGAAGGTTGTACTGGAGAAATTCAGGGCTGGACGGCAGAAAAGCAGATTCCCCTCCCCCCCCCACCCTGGGGTAAAGGTGAACACTTGAGCAGACAGGGAGCTATGACTGTGCTCATTTTGAAGTTCTCCATTGCTCTCATTTGCTTATAGATTACCATTCCCCCCTCAAGGTTCCTCATCCCTTAGAACTGAGGTCTGAGGATCTGAATGGACCCCTTCCTATTTAGGAATGGCTGGTCCATTCAAGCATACTTGTCCCTCTGACATTTCTTAAGGACTCATTCCCATATTCACCCTTCCCCCCCCCATCTGTGGCTACCCTGGTGGCTGAAATCAAGGGCAGTCATTTATCCACTTGAAATACATTTAAGGTGAATTTATGGCAGCACTGTAAGGAGGCAGGGCTCTCTGGGCCTGGGGTAATCTGGGAACCAGGTCTGTAATCCAGAGTGTGTGAAACACGTAGATCCTGCTAAGATGCAATGAGATACCAGGAGCCAGGAGCTGCAGTCCAGCCTGACTTCCCAGAGGACATGGTGCCAGGCTCAGCCTCACACAGTCTTTACTGCCTGTGAGAACCAGCTTTGATTCTTCAAGCTGGTGCACAATCCTGTTGAGAACCTACAGCCTGGCACCACAGGCTTTCCTTCTTGGTGCCATTCACAGAGGGCTCATTTCCCCTGGCATGACTTGCTAAAGATTCTCTGACCTCCATTCCAGCCACAAGGTCTCCAGATCTCCAGTCTCAGGAACTGAGGCCCAGGACATGGTCCCAGACCCTTCTGCCTAGACCTGGGCAGATGCTCTTGGTAGACTCCCACACAGTTTGGAGAATAGACCAAGTGACAGATCGCCATCAGCACAGGCATATTGCAGAGCCTTCAGCCAAAGCTTAATGATTTATTCCTGCTTATAGGCTAAGGTTTTTGTAGTGGGTTTGTGGGAATCCTAGTGTAATCCGGTAGGGACTGATAAGAAAGGAACTAATGTGGTGCTCCTGCCCCTGCATTCTGTGTGTGTGTGTGTGTGTGTGTGTGTGTGTGTGTGTGTGCATGTGTGCACACATGTTTGCTAGTACTAGGGCCTGAACGCAGGTCCTGAGAGCTATCCTTTAGCTTTTTCACTCAAAGCTGATGTTGCACTCCACTGGAGCTGCAGCTCCATTGCCAATTTATGCTGCTTAACAGGAGAGAAGAATCTCATGGACTTTCCTGCCCAGGTTGGTTTCAAACTGCAATCTTCAGATCTCTGTCTCCTGAGTGTTAGGTAGAGGCCACCAGCACGTGGCTCAACCCATGCATTGTGGTGGAGGTTGATAAGAAAGTAACTAATAGCAAGAAATAGATATTATGCAAACTGGGACACAGATGAAGAAGGGAGGAAATGAAGTAGGGATTTTAGTTCAAGGTCCTGGTCTGGCCCCAGCCAATTGGGTTGCATCCAGATAAGGGGAGAAGGTGAGGCTGGAGTGTTGATAAATCCAGGCTCTGGTCTGGAACCTCAGGATGAGTATATTTGGCTACTCAGAGTTAAGAACTCTCTGACCTTCATTCTCCTAACCTAATCATCACCTGCGCTGAGGAACTGAGCATTTAAGTCCTTGAAGTTGAGGATCCAATAACAAATACCTTTAGTTTAACTGAAAATTATGATGCTTCTTCTTAATACCATGGCTGTGGAGCACCACTACAATACTGAAGGTCCCCATGTACCCTGTTAGGGTTCCTGTGGACACACCCCAGGAGAAAGGGGGATAAGGGTCATTCTGAGTTCCTGTGAGCCTGGACCCAATCACCTCATTAGGGTCATGCCAGGCAGCCCAAAAGACCAGGAGTGGAGGGAAGCAAGGGATATAGAATATAGGGAAACAAAGACCTCTACTAGTGTCTGTTCCATATGGCTCAGAGCCACCTCACAGTGAGCGCTGATGTTGCCACAAAATTGTGATCCACCCTTCAGGTCTCTGGGTCAAGAGAGTGTGACTTGAACCTACGAAGCCTCTGTGTGTGTGAGTGAGTCCTGGGGTTTGAAGGAGAGTTGTCACTTAACTAAGTATCATGTATGCTCATGAGGATGCCACCAGAGGATCACTAGGTGGACCCTTTCTGGGGAGGCAGGGTTAGGTGTATTATCTCACCCATTCTGGGCAAAGTTGACCCAGTACTTTATCATTCTCCTGCTCAGTAGCTCCTCCTCCTCAGAAAGTTCAGCTGCACAGAGGAGAACGAGGGTCAAGATCTTGGCTAATTTCAGGGTGCCTAAATCTGTTCTCCACCCTGCATTCAACTGTAGTCTGGTTCTACCTAGCAGGCCTAATCCTTTTTCTCTGCTCCACCCAATATCAGCCACTCCCATTGATTAACCCTCTCTTACTCATCCTAGCCTCTAGCTGAATAATACATCAGTGTATATTCCTGTCCTAGAGGACATTTCTACTCTCAGTCCTTGGAGTAACTTAGGAACATTTA